CCGTGGATAGGGAAAGATAGGCTCTACAGACTAAGATAAGGACTACGACTAAGATAAGGGTTACAGATTACGATAAGAATTGCTGAATACAATAAGGATTAGGCCAACAGATTATGATAAGGATTAAGGATGACGTGGATGCTATGTAACATCTGACCCAAGTCCTATAAATAGGGAGGGCTAATCGAAGTTTGAGGGTAGGCAAAAAACCCTAACTCAATATCTTGATTTCTCCAGAGAGATTATCATTCACACTGACTTGTTCGTCGGAGCCTACTCCACCGGTAACACACCGGTGTTTGTAGGATCACTTTTTCTTCTCTTTATTCAGGAAGTCAGATCAGATCCGGGGTGCGCAGAATTCATCTTCAACATTGGTTAAAATAGAAACAGTATTTTTGTTGGAGGAGTATTTTGGAAAAAAATTGGAAGGATGTTTGGGAACGATGTTTTAGGTGTTTTGTTTTTAGCCCGTGTTGCATTATTGTCATGATTTTGAGCTATGAGCAGTTGTTAAAATAAGAAAAAATAACTTTTTGATATTTTCGTTTTAGGCCACTATTCAAAAAGTGTTTTAGCATTGTATAAAATAAAATAAAATCACACCAAATATATTTTTATTGACAAAATCAATACTATAGCAACTCAAAAACAAAAATAACATAAACAAACACATACCAAATGAGGCTAGTGTTGTCAATCAAAATATCCTTCAAGACTTCGGACTAGATTGTGTTTCTATAATGGCCACCCTATGATTCTAGTTTCCAATATCCCATTTTCAAGACTTCGGACTAGATTGTGTTTCTATAATGGCTACCCTGCGATTCTAGTTTCCAATATCCCATTTCAATTTCATCATCACCTGTCCTCTTCAATCCATAAATAATTTTGTATTTGAAAGCATTGAAATGACAGGTTAAAATTAAAATTCGCAAAAAATTAAGTTTAAAATTTAAATTAAATTTTATTCAATTTTTAAAATTTAAGATACCAATTTGGTGTTAATATAATCAAATTAATTATAACAAAAACAATAGTTAGTTCTTAGATGCGTTTTTGTATCCCAAAACATTATCTTAATTGATCAAATATGAAAGATATTAAAAATGATAAGTGTAATAAGGGGAGTTTATCCTATATCGAATCCGAATGAAAAATGAAAGGAGTATAAATGGATGGGTATGCAACATTATCCAATAATTTAAACTTTTGAGTAAATGGGGAAGCGTTGGTATCAGAGTACTTAATCTTTGGTCCGTTGTCACGCCAAGCGCCCTGCTCAGAGGGCGTCAGGTCTACAACTCGGGTAAGAGGACGTTACAAGTTCGGGTGGGGGAGAATGTAACAAGGGGGAGTTTGTCTCACATCGGATCCAAATGAAATGTGAAAGGGGTATAAATGGGTGGGTATGTAACACTACCCAATAACTTAAACTTTTTAAGTAAATGGGTAAACGCTCACCCGTTACACTTGGTATCAGAGCCAAACTTATTTGTCACGCCTAACGCTCAGCCCGTTACGATTGTGAATAAGAATGTTTGAACTATTGAAACAAATTATCTCCTAAATTGTCAAATAAATATGACAAGAGTACAGGGTGAAGTGCAAAAAACACCTTCATTGTTTCATTAGTGTGCATTTAATACCCCATGTGTTCAAATCTTACCCCTATAATTTCAAATGTTTGCAAATAAGGAATTCTAACCCCCCAAAATTGACATATGCGGTCATGTGACCAAAAAATGATCTTTAATACCAATAATGCCATTTTAAAGTACCCAAACTATCCTTTACTCATTTTACCTCATTTCTTTATATAATATATATAATAGTACCCTTATTTAATTAACTTTCTTTCTATAAATACTCTAACTATTTTTATTATTCTCTGCATAACTGATCTCTCTCTATTTTTTCCCTCTCTAAGGGCACTTTGTCTCTATATAATTTCTCTTTCAATATATTTTTTTTCTTTTCATAAGCTGTAAGAAGCTATGAAGTATATACACTATTTGGACTAAGGAAAGATCAGTCCTTTAATTTTACAATCAATTGGTACTTCATTAATTGATAAAATTACAAATTCCAATTAACAAACAATTAGAACTCTATATTTGAAAGCAAATACTTGTCTGAACAGAATTTTGAAAGCAAATACTTGTCTGAGAACTTTGACCAATTATTTGTTAAGCTTACATTTTCTGATACTGAACAAAATCGGGAGGAAAAGAAAAGAAAACAAATCAAAACTTCAAAATCTTACAAGAATATGGGATTGAAAATTTTTGGTTACTCCAAATTGAATATATGTGACCCAAATTATATTTTCTCAGCAATCCAATAAAGCCACAAAGAGAACAAATCCTAATTCAACAGTGGGAAGAAAGAGAGGGAGTTTTAGAGCAACTCCAATGGAGTCTCTAAAAATTGGCTCTCCAAATTTGTCACGTTAGCATTTTCAAAAGCCACATCAGCGTTTTAGAGTCTCAAAATTTTAGCTGTTGCACGTACTCCAATGGTGCATTTTTACTCTCCAAAAATATTAAATTATTTAATCAATATGTATGAAATATTGTAAGCAAGACAATATCTAATATCACTTGATTTATTAATTTTTAGAGGTGAATACAAAGACACAACTTTTAAAATAAAAAATATCATATTTTAAAGAAATCAAAAAAAATTGTTTGGTTAGTCAATATAACCATTAAGGCACAGTTTGGGTCAGCCAAACAGTGCCTTAAACGGCTATAATGTCAATAGGAATATTGAAAATTTTGAGAAGGAAAAAAAATAACTTTTTGTCCAAATTTTTTTAAAAAAAATTTTGCCCCAAAAAAAACCTTTAGGGCAAACAGTGCCTTAACGGATCTTTGATTCCATTATGTTGAAGAAAAAAAAAGGAAAAAAAAGAAGAAGAGAGAGGCCAAAATAACCCAAAACCTGATTTTTGGGTCTAATTTCAGCCAAACACACCCTTATTCTGGGCTAAGTTACCGTAAATTGAGCCACAATTAGAAAATATATATATACATATATATATATATAGACGGACTCACAATCTATAACAGTGTTGCCAGAAATGGCGACCCATTTCCCAATCCAAATGACGTGGCCCCAATTTTGACGATCCACAATGGAACAGATTGGGTCGCCAAAATGAGTCCTTAAAAGGCTCCCATTGGAGCTGCTCTTCGAGAAAGAAAGAGACTTTTTTATTTTTATTTTTTTGTACAAGAGGACTTGCAACCTTGTTTGTCTCTGTCTTGAAGATTTGACCGTGTCTCATTCGGCACTTCATGATCGTGTCTCACTCGTTACTTATTGACCGTGTCTTACTCGGCGGCGGACTTCAAGGCTTAGGCTTCTGGAGACTGTAGCTCTGGTAGCAGGAAGCGTTCTCCGGCGGCAGGTGATCTGTTCTTTGGCAACTGGGATCACGTAAGTTCCCAACAGAAGGTGGAGTACCAGTCGCGATGATTGATGATGTGGCGGTCAAAGTCAAGGAAGGCGACGAGGAGAACGGCGAGGCTGAGAGTTCAACAAAAGGCGGATTGAATGAAAACTAGCGGGGAAGTTTGAAAATCCTTCACCATGAACACTAACGAGTTACGAGAAGAGAGAAATTCACCGCAAAAAAATTAGAGGAGAGAGAGATAAGATTTCAGTGCTTCATTATCCAAAACGACGCCGTTTACGGTTATGTCTATTTGGGTAATTGCAACCTCTAGCAATTTTTTAATATTATTATATAAAAAATATTGAGGAATATTTTCGTTTATTAATCTGTTTCTTTGATAAAAAGTAATTATTGGCACAATTTTGAAATTACGGGATAGCTTTTGGAAGGATTTTTTGCACGTTTTAAATCTGAGGTGGGTTAGATAGCATTAATTAATTGAAAGGATAAGGATTTAGCCGAACCAGCTGCGAATTAATTGGAAAGCAGGGCAGGGCATGCAGTAGTGTGACACCTTGGCATAACCACCAATTAAGTGAGCTAATTAAGTAAATGGTAGGTCTGATATTTTATTGAGAAACAAAAAGGTTGATATATATAGTTGTTACGTAATTACTCCCCAACTAAAAGGTGAAGACTCAAGACGTCTCGTCCCTTCCTTTCATTACACTATGAAAATAACGTTTTTGAAGTATACTTTTCGGGCAAACCATCGTTTTAAACAAAGTAAAAAAAAAACATTGTTCAGATAAGCATCACATTGTTATGTAGCCATGAGATGTAAGAACCATATAGAAAATGAAAATCGAGATCCATTTTCATCATCATTCAACACCCAAAGCATTGTAATATATAGTAATACGTAGTACATGCATGATGCATACAACAATGAAAGAAATTAATTACAGGAGGAAATATTGAATCAAACAGACAAATGGACATGGACATCATACATATATATCCTTATTAGAATATCTAATATCTTGGAAGGATAATACATTATACAGCGATCCTCACTAGAATACCGAGGAAACAAATGAGAGTAGGTCTAGGTCTCGTTCGAAGATAGCCATGTCTTTTTCCAACAGGTTCACCGATGCCTAAATTCCATCCCCTTCTTTAGTGCTCATCAAAGTACGCACATTTTTGTATGGAACAATTGGAGTGCACACCCATGTAGGCTTTCCCCACCCAAAATCAACCTCATAAAATGGAAATCTACTCCAACTACTGAACCCTAAGAACTCTATTTCACCCTTTATGGTTCGTTCACGTTCCTTATTGTTTGAATCCACAAAACCATCATCCATTATTATCTTTCTCACGTACTCGCCATTGATTTCCCTCACAGCATTCCCTATCAAATTCACCAAGCCACCAAAATCTTTGTCGCCATCTACCGTTGTTGGTGCCATTGCAGTTTGCCAAAGATTTCCAAAGAAGTGATTCGGCAATGGTGGTACCATCCTCTCCCGCAAGTTGACTGAATGAATTGCAACACACATCTTCCCCGGTTTGGATTTTGATCGTATTGCGGTCATGAAAGTTTTCCAAAGTAGTGCTGAAACCACCTGAACGCGGGTTGGGGGGTACGGTACTTTTGTACCTCCTCACAACACACACCAACACAAGATTGTGATGATGATGTTGCATGTTGTTTGAGGGCAATGATGTTAAATTTGTCGAACACAAACCTTTTGGTCACGATTTTCTCATTCCCTGACGTCAATGTCTGATCAGCTGTCTGGAGCTTGAATCCTGGCATATCTTTGGGTGGGAATAGCAATGCTGCGTCGAAAATGGGATATTGTTGTTTCTGATCATCAGCTTCACTAGTACTAGTACTAGTGCTGGCTCTGAACATAGCTGCCCAAGCGTTTACAAATGTAACCAAAGAAGTTCCATCCGCGATCCGGTGTGAAACACACACGCTGATTGCCACTCCTCCACATTCAAATATATTGAATTTAACACCTACAGGTGCTAATTCGCTACGTCCAGTCACATTAGTACCATATGGATCAAATGGTAGCAACTGGTTCAACAACTCGGAAGTCAGTTTCTTCATAGCTTCACAGAGCTTGCAGTCCACCCGGGCTTCAGCATACTCCACCCCCTCATCGTTGCAATCAACTGAGAAATCTTCCCGAATTGTGCTGGCCAACGGGTAATAGCGACTCAAGCATTCTCCTAGAGGCTTCTTGAGATCATCATAGTCTTCATAGAAGAGTATGATGGGGACATAAATTTGGATTGAAAGTTGGTCTAATAAAGAAAGTCTATGGTTTCTGAGGTGTTGGGGTGTTGGAGATGATGGTTTGATTGTCTCCCTGGAGAGAACTTCAATATTCTTCATCTTTAAAGTATTTGAATGTGATGAGTACGTTGTGCTTATGCTGTCCTTTGACAGTACTAGTAATGAATGTGTGCTTATATAGCTGATCGTGATAACAACTACTTTCATAAAATAAGGCATCAATTTGTAATTAATATTCTTACAAGTAAACTACTACCATGCAGAATCAATGTGGTACTGTTCCCCACAGGAGGGGATCGTGGTTGTAACCATAGTGGTCATGGACATTCAGCATGATATAAATATATATAGAGAGAGAGAGAATGAGAGACATACACTTAATTTTAAATATTAAATGATGCATGAATATCATTTAATTTGATCTGATCGGATTTGTTAGGTTTATAGCTTTAAATTTATTGATTTTGTGCGAGTGAGATTTCATGTAATCCCACTTGCATGTAATTTATGAATATCGGATTTAATTAAGGAAGAGAAGCTCCTGGTTAGGCCTTCAAGCAAATATGATGTGGGTTCCAACCACCAAGAAATGCCCTGTACCTCGATCAACGACTCGTGTCATCGTTTTCAAGAAATGTGTGAAAACCCAAATTCAAATGATCAGTTGTTTTTTCTACAAAGTACAAAGTGAGTTCTGATTAACAAATTAAGCCACCATATTGCCCCTAATATTAAGCATTCTGCCTCTTTGACCTGGGGAGAATACAAGTTTAGTATTATTTTGAAGGCTTAATCATATTTACCTTTACCTAGATTGTCGAAACCTCTCTAATAATTTAAAAAATGCAACACTCAGTCTTTGATCCAAATGTGTTAAATGATTATTATATTCATTATAATTTTGTTAATTTAATATTTGAACAAAATAACATTTTCAAACTTTTACAGTAGTAGGATTTTAAGTAAAATTTAAGAATGACATTAAAAAAATTAGAGTGTTACTCAGATCTAAACTAGAGGAGAAGCCAATATTATATTTTAGACAATTTATAAGCGTTCGAAATCTTTTTGAAAGCTATTTGGGAATTCTAATACTCATCAGTTCAGCAATCATGTACTGTTGTAAATATCATGAGGTTTACACTGCACTTTGGGCCTCTACTAAGCTGGCCCAATTATTTGCATCCTTAAATCCAAGGAATAGGTGGGCACAAAATGGTAGAAAGCCCAAACTAATCCCAAACCCTACTTCTAGGTTGGTTTGAATGACCAATACCTTGTGAATAAGAGAACTAGAAAGAAAAAGAATGGCTAATTTCACAAAACTCTTTGAAATCTTTATTTATCAATAACCACCATGAATAAAAAAATAAAAAAATGATATAGGGTTCAAATTTCCCAAACAAAAAAGAAATAAAAAAAATAAGATAAACTTAATATAGTGGAAATTTTTTTTGAAAAGAAAGCAAGAAAGTGGGTTTTATTTTATTATTATTATTTTTTTAAAATACGTGTATCGGTCCCACAATACACGTATCATTTAAATTATGAATACGGTTTGAAAGTGAGATCTCAAAAATTTATCTTCCAAATCCCTATTAACTAGCCTTTTGATTTCCTACCAATACAATTATATCCTTTGAGGCAAAAACTCACGTTAATTTATTTATTTATTTATTATTATTATTATTATTTTAACTAGACAAACAAAAGTACGTTACTTGCATAGTACATGACAGACAAGACAAGATTACGTTATCAGTATTAACCACAAGAAAAAACCAAACCCACTAAAACATGGAAAGGCGTCCTACCGACGCACCCTAACAACCATGATTGCAATATATAACAGGTTGGCCTAAGGCGAACCTCTTGAAATATATAGACCATTGTGGTCCCAACATAATAATAAATTAATAATTAATGTCACTTTTTTTTTTTTTTTGGCAAATTGTCAGAAACGACAAATTTGTGGCTGCAAAAGATTCTATCGAAGACAAATTCTAATAACTCATTCTATAAAATGGCGGAACAAACCAGGGACCCATTCATTTACTTTGATAGGTCATGCACTAACTCTACAAGTGAAATAGATATTGAAATAGAGAAGTAAATTCTTGGCAATGAAAGCTTTAATTTTTAATTTGATTGCTAAAATTAGGTTTGATTCCATATTCAATATTTCAGTTCTTTCTGTAACAACAAAATTAATATAGTGGGTAGCATAATGAATATTATTATAATTCATGATTATTTTGTCAAATTCAAATCTAAAATGAAAAATGGATGGAGCGTAGTTGTATGGGAAAAAAACAATGGCTTGAAAGCCTTGATAAATTATAAAACGAACCCCGCGATTTTTAACGGCAAACAGGCCCATATTATAGTCGCACAACCTAATTAAACCACTTAGAGAAATTTCAATTTATTAGGCATTTCGATTCTTGAAAATTAAAGTTATTGAAAAATAATTAAAATCTAAGTAATATACAAGCCAATCTCGACCACCATCAATTTTATTCAGTTTTCATTTATTGTTTTAACTAAAAGATAGAACAACCTCTAACAGATTCTTTACCAACGCCTAGGACTTAATTTCTAACACAAAATTAATAGTGACTTGACACATGGATCATAATGTTTAAGAGAGTGATATTATTTCTCTCTAAAAATTTTACCAACACCCTCTTTTAAATTTTCATGACCCTATGAAAAAATTTAGTTGAAAATTTGAATTAAAATGTTTTCAATTTAAAAAATAGGAAGTGCCGATTACAAATAATGTAATCAAATCAATTATTACAATAACAATGGTTAGTTCTTAGGTGCATTTTTTGTACCCAAAAACAGCTACCTCTTATAATTAACAGAAATTAAAGGAATTAAAAATGAGAGAGATATTTTTAAAAAAATGATTTTAAACTTTTGTGAAAAGTTCATCTTCATAATGTAAAAATTTGAATAATAGTAGTTCTAAGTATAAATGAGATGACTAGATCTTAGATATATAACTAACAACCCTAAAGCTTTTTAATACTTCTAAGAAAGAAAAAAATATCTAAATCATGCATCAATACTTGACTCTTTTTTTTTTTTTTTTCCTTCTTAAATGAAAAGAAGCAAAACAGAAATCCAATGTTGTTGTTGTCACACAAGTCAAATGAAGAAAACGAAAGAGTAAATTGACATACAAAATATATCCATCCAAGATGGACGAAGTCCAAGTGTTACTTTATTATTCTCATTTATATAAATTACTTGGAAAATTTTAGAATTCGGTATTTGAACGCAATGCAGGTTGAAATGTTGAACGTCCACTTTCAACATTTAGTTTTGGCGGCTTCCTCAAGTTATAAAAGAAAGTGTAAATGTTTTGACTCTGCTCACTCACTCTTTCGTAGAAATACTGGGTAATTATCCAGTCCCACATTGATGTCTCTTAGTCGATTGTTGATTTTCAAATAACATAGCTTTATATATATTTATATTGGTTAAGTAAATACTTTGCACATATTTTCACAAATTATCCACAATGAGATTCCCTCTGTTATTAGGCACCGTATGCGAAAAAAAAAAAAAAAAAAAAAAAAAAAAAAGGATCTCTCAAAATTTTTTTAGTGCTGCTATATATGACAATACTTTTGACAATCTCAAAATATGAGAGGTCTTTTGAGAGCTCATTAAATTGTATTATTTTCATTCACCTGTTATATTTTGACTTTAAGAGACCCTTTGAGAGGGTATTGGAGATGCTCTTATGGGAAAAACAATAGCTTAAAGGAACTCCCGCGATTTTAAACTCCACACAAACCTATAGCCTAACTTACCATGGACTTCTGATTGGGCTATAATCGACAGTATAGTGGCCTAACTTAATAAAACCATACCGGATCAATAACCCAGATTATCCATGGACATCTAATTGAGCTGTAATCGACAGTATAGTGGCCCATCTTAATAAAACCAACCCGGATCAAATAGCCAGGATTACCCATGCACATCTGATAAGCCTGTAACTTACAGTATTGTGGCCCAGCCTTATAAAACCAGCCCGGATCAAATAGCCCAGATTATCAGGTGGAAAATCACCTCTAGTGAAATAGTGCAAACATTTGCTCCATTTTTGTGAATGAATAGTACTTACCATAGTGAGTAAAAAATTATATTTGTTTTATACAGAATTTTTGTATATATATATACACCGTTCAAATATACTCTTTGTTCCTCCTTTATTTCTTCTTCCCTCCCTTCTTTATTTCAGCAACTCATGTGAAATAAAATTGAAATCCCGCCACCCAGCCCTTCTTCTCTCCCAAAATATCAATCAACCCAGTTTAGAATTTGATTTCTTTCCAAATAGATTTTGACTTCTTTCCAAATAGAAGTAAGGAGTAGGCTTTATTTTGAAATAGAATAAGCGATTCTATTTCCCAATTGAAAGTCAGATCAGACTTCTCCAAATCAAAGTAAGAGGTACGATTTCTTTGTTTCTGTCATTCTTATGGAAATAAGAGGATTTTCTTGAAAATAAAATCTGAAAATTATACATGTATCCCAAATTATCCTTATTTGCTACATCACAACAATTTTCCAACATTTTCGTAACATATATCCCAACGTATTTGTAAAGTGGTGCATCATAATATTTTTCTAAAGTACATCCCAACATTTTTATACAAACATCCCAACTTATTTGTAAAGTGCATTCCAACATTTTTCTAAGGTGAATCTCAACATTTTTCTTAATGTGAATCTCAACATTTTTTTAAGGTGGTGTACCATTTAGAATGGTACTATTTCCTTCTTCTTCGTCGCCTTAGACCGTCTTTCTTCACTTCTTCTTCTTCGCCTCATCGTCGTTCTGGTGCATCCCAACATTTTGCTACGGTGAATCCCAACATTTTCCTAAAGTGCATCGCAACTTATCCCAACTTTTCCAACCTAGCTTCAGACCTTCTTCCCTTCTTCTTCATCTTCATTTATTCGAAAATCAAACCCTAACCTTCAGACCTTTCTTCTTCCCTTCTTCTTTACCTCAGACATTCCTTTTTCCCTTCTTCTTTACCTCAGACATTCCTTTTTCCCTTCTTCTTCTTCGC